ATGACCTTGTCCACCATGGTATTGCATTGTCTACTGGAACAAATGTTAAGTCATGTATGATGCGACCTTTTAACAAACTAATGTCCTGTTTATTGCCAGTTGTTTTGACAAAAGCATTATGGCCAAATCTTGAAACGAAGTCCTCACTGTGAATAATCAGCTGTTTAGGATAAGATTGAAATACACTTGAAATATGTTTTTCATTATTCTGATAAATTGATTTATATGCGATTGATCGATAACGAGGTTTATCTGTCTTTTCCTTAATATTATCCAGTATTAATGGCTTTAATGTTTCATTACGAATCGAATTAGTTTCCACGGGTCGATGCTTGAAATTTAATAAGTTAGATGTTGAACTAGAAGGCTTCATTAGGGGATGATTTGTCGTATTGCAAAGACTCTTATGCGCTGGTTGTGCGATTAGATTTAGCTTTCTTAAAGATTGAAAATATGGTTTATAAGTGAATAGATTTTTATTTAAATTGTAGCTTCCTCGTTTTTTCTCTTGATTGCATACTTCGGATGAACTTCTCATACTATCTTCTTTGATGAAATCATATTTATCTACAGTCATTTGAAAGTCCTTATTTAGCTGAGAAACTGATGGCTTTGGATTGTACTGGTTGATACATTTTGAAACTTTATTGTTTAACGAGTCAGTTGAGTGGCTATGAGGACAAAATGAAAATTTATCATCAGTACTCCAAAACGGTGAATGCACATCATTGTGTAGTAGGTGTGTTGTTTTGTGGTCTTCATTTATATAATTTAATGACCATAATGAGTTAAATGAACATGGTCTAAGTCTATACGATTCCCAAGGACGAAGTGAAGGTTTCAAGATTGTCCGATCAACGCTTACTGGTCTCTTGTTAGTTGTATTTTGTATGGGTGAAACATATTTTGTATTGCTTTCAGTATTTGTTGGGATACTCATTCTTTTAACTGTTTCTGTCCCACAACCAATAACTCTTAGGGAATTTGATCTTTTATACCATTCTCTAGCCATTCGTATTCTTTGTATACGTGGTGTATTCGAATGAGCGTTTATATCATCCCACGATTGCGGACCAGGAGGGTAAAATGGAGGTCTGCTAGACAATGATCCAAGTGAATTGGATCTTTTTACAGTATTTTTATTTGCTTGTTTAACAGGAGTTGTATTTGCTGCTATTTTGTAGTACATCAGTGGATGAGGAGCAGAATATTTATGTCTTGCGGAAGATGAACCTCTAAGTAAATTTCGATAACTACTAGTCATTCGAGGGTTTCGAATTTCTGAACTCACTGAACACTTATCAGTTTTACTAATATTTGTGGACTTATCTTCAGTTTGCATGACTGTGATAGGAATGTTACCATTATTCACATTGTTTAATTCCTCTCTTTTGCCTGGTTTGCAATGTTGTTCTGTGTAATGTGTACTAATTGGAAACATTTATTTTAGTGGTATATTATCCATTACGGAGCATTTCAACGTATTCATATTTTAATGAAATATTACTATTCGTCTAAATAATCCCTCATTTTATATAGTCAAAATTCAGTTAAAATCAATAAACAAATAGTAATAAGCAATCAATATTACTTCACTAAGGAATTATGGGACAGAAAATGTTGGTTGCTTCAAGATTGTTTGACAGAATAATAAAAAGCATATTCATTAATGATTGGAAATATTATTCATGAAAGCTGATAGGCTTTAAAAGCCGAACATATGAAGTGAAATATCTGACTATTACGGCAGTTTAAGGACATGTGTACTCAGTATTGATATAAGTTCAAAGAACAGACAAAGTACTTTCTATAAGTACTAGAAACTAGGAAATTTGATTATAATGATTTGAATGAAATGAAAAGTGTAAACACACAAAATAACAACGAGAGATATTGAATCCTTGGACCTCTTCAATGATAATTATCTCCAATGGAAAGACGATATTACTCGTAATGTATACAACCATTTTAATCAATAAAATGTTAATTATTAGATTTAACTCTAGATTTATTACTGGGAGAACCTAAATAGTAAAGGAATAATTGTATAACTATTATAAGTTTCTTTTCCATTTTCATTTGAAATATTTCAGAAATTCGATTGTATAGGGTACCTAAATGAAAATATATATATATATATATATATATATATAGCCACATGAGGACAAACTTTATTCTATGGAAAGTCATTAATATCAGAGTAATTCCGTTTTGTGTACCCAGTAATCAGTTAGTATATAATCAGAGAATAAAAGCGATTTTTAAGATTGACATTAAATAAAATGTAGCAAACCAAGATGGAAAAACTACACCTGGTGTACTGACAAAAAATTCAAACAAAATGGTAATAAGTATTTCAAATAGAAAAAAACAGTTAAAGAAAAGAAAATTTCCTTTTTAAGGTATCATTTACTTAACCTTTATAATCATACCTATTACATAGTCAGTTATCTACAATAAAATATAAATCTGCCATGTCATTGACAGGGGTACCACAAGTTATATTGTCAGCACAAGGAGTAGCTCCGAGGTAAACTAGACATAAAATATCTGAATTGCGGAGGCTTCGGTAATTCTTCAATTCAAATCTGGTCTCTGTGTTCAGAAGTGATATTTCTAATCCTTTATTTTACCATTGTCTTAAATTCCCATTTCATTTCGTAGCTTTGTAAATTGTTTTGATATGTGTCTGCTCGTTCCTTATATTCATTAAGTAAACCAGTAACTTTGATATTTATTTGCCATATATTATTTTATTTTACCTGTTACCATTTACCCTTCGACTATACCTGTAAATACATTTTTACAGCTTTAGAGAATGGCATCTTTTAAAGAAAATTTCCTTCTTTGAATTTTGTTTTTAATCATTTAGTTTGTTGTTCTGTTTAGGATATCTTGGTTAGATTCCAGGATAGCGTAAACTGAATTTATCCGTTTGTATGAAAAAGTAATGTAGTACATATAGAGAAATATTTTCTGAATACTTTATTTTGTTTTAAAAAAAATCCAGAACAAAAACCTTCTAGAAATACGGACAAAAAATACTAAATACAGATAATGAAGGCATCGCATCTGAACTGAATACTTTATTCTTCTTCTTCCATGAACAATGGTTACTATGACCTACTACTGTTCAAGCAATTTGAAGGTTAATAATATCGACAATGAGAACAAGGGAAATACTTTTAATAATGATATTGTGTAAGTTACATTATTATTATAAATATTATAGATTCACAAAAAGCCGATAAAAAGAAAATCACTCCTAACTGTACACTTTATCATGGTCAATATGTCTAAAACTACTAATGTTATATAAGCATATCAGGATTGTGTGACTTACAATAAGTTGGTTTCACAATAATCATTACTACAGTTTACCATAAAATACACCTTTTTTTCTAGTTCAGCACAGGTTTACTTAAAACTAGAATGTAGTAGTAGTCAATTAAAAAAATACCTTGTGCTATAAAATATAGCAGACAAAACTGACCATTTTGAACAGTTCTAATAATTCTGATCAGTGAACTACTTCATGTTGAAAGCTTTAGAATAAAATAACATCAAATAGGACTCACTTTTATATTGCTTGGTCGTTATAATGAATAGTTAATTGATAGATCTAATTGTATGTTAGGAATCAAAATGTATGGTACTAGAATAGTCTTGTTTATTTCTAATGATGAACACATATAAAATATAAATATGCAGCAGCTTTGTTTTCACGCACTCGATTTTAAAATTGATCAGTTTAATGCAAAGATAAGATTGACTGATAGAGAAATGTTATTGAAGAAATCAATGACAAACATGAAAATTTATAACTGTCAATTAATCTGCTAAGCTATCCAATTATCTTAGTCATAGCAATAATCAGATCTACAAGTTTTAGTAAGATCTTTTGCAGAAGTTAAAACATTTTTTTAAAATGAAATTTACTAAATCATATGAGAAATAGATTATACACTGAACTAATGACAAAAGGTTGTTACCTATACAACTTCTTAATAATTTCGCCATAAAACTTTTCTTCATTACAACGGCTATTAATTGTATCAAAGCACTGGTCTAACTGTCAGGTATAAATTAATAGGTCTCTAGTTTTTGGCGCGAAATTCACTCATCCATTTGTCTAAATAGAGTCTTGGCATTATAACTTACGTCAGTTCGTGATGAAAACCCTAAATGTAATTCCTAACCTTACCCATCAACTGTAAATCATCATTCGAATTCCTTACACTAATTTATAATCCTCATTTAGTCATCCATAAATTATAGTTTCACCATACTTTTTAATTATCGAAAAATTATAACGGGTTAAAACTTATGTGAAAATTCTTGATATTATGAAGTCGAATGAAGAAATTTATTATTTTCGTAGCAGATGAATGAATACTTTGGCAAAACAATATTATACAGATATCACGGCTCATATGTCACAGAGATAGAAAAAGTTCTGAGTGTTGGGTACATTCTCTGTCATATTCGACTTATCATGTGACAAATGGGTGTGTTAATACTAAAATATAGATCAGTTATAACATTTCTACACCGATCTTCCGATTGTGGTGGAACAGATAATGATCTAGACACTACAGATATGTTAAAACTTGTGTGATATGAATTATTTCAAAGGGTGCAACTAACATTAATGCCCTTCAGAAACATAATATGTAATTAGTACTAAGGATGTCCATAAATCTGTACTTCATGATGCACTTCGTGTATCAAATGTTTTTTTCTTGGTCAAAAAGAATCAAATTACAGTTTAGTGTTTACTTTTTATGAGTCTAAAAACAAAATGTATTACTGGTTAGTGTTGATAATGTTCAACTACAATGGTTGTCAAGCTGTAAACTCTGTTAGCCCACTTAAACTTTGTCTTGATTATCTGATAAATCATATTTAAAACTTATTCAGCAAGTAAATATGGATAAAGTTTTAATATCTCCTTAATACAATTTCACATTATAAAAAAAACTGTTCATATTAACACTTACGTTATTTCCCGCTTTAACAGTTGGCATTATTCAGTCAATGATGAAGGTATTTTCAATAAATAGATAAGATGATTAGTCAATATTAGTGAGATTTATGAATAACAAACGATCTGATGTAATACTGATGAAGATTTGAAAAATCTGAGAAGTAATGAGTAATTAATAAAAGAAAATATATGTCAAAATAGATTTTGTTATTGTTTATATGTGTATATACTACTTTAATTAGTTTCAAAGAAAATTACAATAAATGGATCCCACTATAGTAAGATGAATTATATCGATTGAATAATGATTAGAAAAAATAACAGAATTTGTTCAACTGATAGAAACAGTAAGTCAGAAAGTATAGTGTAATTATAGAATTTTTTTATTGCCACTATTAATTAACACTATTTCTCTGTTCGACCAAGGCTAGTAACAATATTCTAGTTGTGCTTTCTATCAAATAAAATACACGTTGATAATAAGAAGGCAGATGAATCTTCTATCCCTTTTTTGCTTTAAACCTGTCATGTTTTCTATCCATTACTACTACCACTAATACTGCTGCTGTTACTTCCACTTATTTCCCTAGCCTCGATGTTGTGATGCATTTTATCATAATGACAAGCATCAGATTAATAAATAACAAATTATAGAAGCATCAATACTACCACCTACGCATTTATTTTGCCTACACAAATATATGTGCTTGCAAAATTACCAATATACGGAATTGTTTTAGACAATTCTGTTTCACATTAAAGATGAACGCACATATTAGTTGACAGTATACATAGTTATACAGACACACAAGACTACATATACACAAAACACGTGGATACACGGACACAAATAGGTCACAAATTGTGCTTTTCTCACAATCATATCATGATAATATCTAAGTTTTAGAGAAATATAAAATCATATATGTATCGATTGCTAATATAGTCAATAACAATTGACTATATACTTTCTATAGTTTAGAATATTGCCTATTAATAAATGATTACTTATTAGTCGAAGCATATGTTTATTAACTGTTTATGTCATATATTTTTCATTCGAATTTCGTTTCTGTAATCTGACTTATTTCAATCAGAAGTCTTACTTACTTTCGATATCTCTTTAATTTAAGTGATAAAAAGCTAATAAACAAGTAAATAAAGTATTTGAAGTACTACATTGTTAAAAAATCGCTTATATTTCACTAAGTAGTATTAATAAAGCTAATTTAGCATTTATAATTGAATAGAATGTTTCAGCTTTACACTCAGGGTGGGATGATTAACCAGACTTGTTTTAAAAGTTGAGCACATTTAATTAAATAGTAGTATAATCATATTGGAGTCAAATCCGTACTTATGTTTGACGAAAGAGTAATAATACTCGGTTTGAGTCTCAGTATCGACATCATCATTGGAACTCAAGTACATCTGATTGATGGGTCCCAAATGGACTGAAACATACTTCATGGATTACATAACCAACCACAATACAACTTTACTAATAAACATTTTACTAAAAGTCGATATCAAGGCAAGATAATATGATTTTGAGTTATTTGTCAATTAATGAATTAATAATTAAAGACGAAACTAAAGTTCATAGAACGACTAATGATTATTCACTTATTCCTATTATCTTTTAGTGACCCCATATCTAACTCCAGTTATATCGTATGACTGATTGCTATTGAAATATTCATGTCGTCTATCTTCGTATAGAATCATTGACTCAAATCGCGTTAGTGAATAACGGAATTAAATAAGTCAAATACGAGAATAGATGTTTGAATACATAAATTTTGTACACATTGTTCTGAACAGACAATCAGAAGAACGAAGTGAAGAAAAGTGAGCGAAGCGAAATGACATTCAGTGAAGGCATGTGAGCCAACTCCATTTAATCAAGCGTTATTCGATTTTTATAATCACACAAAAATAAGTTACAGACATGTGGCGAATAGGATAAAAAGTATTCAAGGTTGATAAGTGAATAATTAACAAGGTCAAAATATGAACTCAAGAAGAATGAATAAATTGGCCTATCCAGAAGCTAGAATAAGCTATGTGGGCTCGACAATGGAACAACCACTACATTATCATCACAATATAAAAACATATATCTATTTTTAATAATATTCCTGTAAGTTATTTTTAATGCTAAAATGTAGTGAGTATATTTAAATAATCAACTTTACTTACAACCTTATTAACATTTATTGATTTTAGTAGAAAACACCTTTACATGGTTGAATATAAAAGTAAATAGATGAGTTTAATACGATTTCCCAATCACATCGTATAAAGTATACTGATTTAAGTTAATTTTCTTCCATTACATTTGTTCCTGTGATACATCCTGGATACAATATCAAACTTAATACTAGCTGGATTTTCTTTATTTGTTCATCTCACTTTTTGTAAAAATATCACAAGTGACATGGAATGATAATAATACAATTGGTTTCCGATAAAAAGTGTGGTTGGACAAATAACTTACAATGAATTCCGAATTTCTCCTCTGTTCATTATGATTGTTATTGCCAACTTTTGTTATTTAAAAAAGGTAGACTAAATATTTAAAAAAAAGACAGTTAGTAAATGTCACAGAACATGTGGATCATTTGAGAAAAACAAAACTTGTCAAACGTTTTATGATCAAAGAGTCTCTATTTGTTTGTTTGTTATTTTCTTGACTATTTAGGACAATTTACCATTTACTAATCAGTAGTTTTCAGTGATTTTTAACTGCTGTCAGGTTGCTAACAAAATTTCTCCTAACCTTTGTAGTTATATAGCAACAATTTTTGGGCTATGAGTTCTGTACTGTTCTTGAATGTAATGTGTAAACATTTTGGGAAGTTTTATTTCTTAACTGTGAAAACTGTCTGAAGTTCTAGTAAGAGATTTTAATGTTTAAGGTCAACCCAGTAAATGATGTACAAAACATTAATTGACAAACTGAAATTAGTTCAAAACTGATTGAATTATTTACAATACAACGATTTCACTAATAATGATGAGGTAAACTACATACTATACTTATACCATTAAAATGAAATTAATTCACTGTAGATTTAATAGATTTATTTTTTTATTATCTTCCAGCTATGGTTATTTCTATAACAATAATGCAGTAAGAAGAATGTATGGTCATTTTAAAAGATGAGTATCATGAGTAGCTGTTGTTTAATAACTGATGAATTGATAAGTTTGAGAAAAAATTCAAGTTTCAAATTATAGTACAACTCAAAGTAGCAAACTAACAAACTTTATATTTAGTTAAATAAATTGTAATCAGAGAGCAGCTTTGTGGATATTATAGTAATTTAGTAGATGAATTCATGAATAAGTTAAAGCTAAATCACCATGGAAAACCTGGAAGCACTGGACGGTCGTTCCGTCCTAGCATGGTACTGGTCAGAAGTGAGCATCCATGATCCCGCCCGTCCGGTGCTTCCATGTTTTCCATGTTGGCCTAGCTTAAACTGACTCATGAATTCATCTACTAAGTAAATTATATCAATATTCTGAATATCTGTTTGATAAACATCAAGATGAGTACTATGATATTAATTGAAAATATTAGAAATAGAACTTGTCCTTTTTATCTTTTGTGTAGACAGGTTGAACATTGAACTGACGGATAAATATATCTACAGATGAAAATGTTGAAGTGTTGTCAATCATAAAGCATGTGTGACCTATAAATTAGAAAAAATGAAAAAATTCCCATACAAATCTGATCTTAACAAAATAATAAGAATAAAACTAACATGTATATATACAACCGTATGAACATCAGTTAATTGATTTAGTGTTATTGTTACATGATGAATTCCCTTTTCGATGAAATGGCGGCCTGCTTGAATATCTGAGCTACCTGTTCCTGTTATCTAGATAATTCAACAAGTTATCTGTTTCTCTTGTTTTTTTAATACATCATTATGTCTTTAAATCGCATAACCTATTCAGGCGCGTTTATGAAAAGTTTACGATCTTTCGCTGTACAACTTACAAAAAAGTACAATCAGTGATTTTGTGATGGTTTGAAATATGCATTGAAAAGATTGAACATTATTCAGATGTCGATGCCTGAACTGATAACAGCATATCGGTGATCACAAAATGTTTATTGTCAGAATCAATCAAGAAATATGAAAAGAAAACTTGTTAAAATACTTTATGCTGAGAACTCTATATTTTATAAAAAATATAGTATTGAATAAAGCCAATAATAATAGGTGTAAAATGAAAAAGTACCTTATTTTTGTCAAATGATTATTTGATCAAATGATTAAGCCTTCATAATATAGGGATATATCATATTCCAGTTCCGTTTAGTTTTAGAATCAATTGACGGCACATATTTACCAATTTAGTTTTGTTAAGATCTGTCAAACTTCTAGAGTAATTTTCACATCAGACTGGAATCATTCATAGTACATCCGAATGACAGAAAGCCCTGATTTTATCCTCATTTTCCGTTTGGGACTTCCTAATAATCTACATTCGCGACCTCACACATGCTGAAAATAACATGCAACGTATTCAGAAATGTACAGAAAAACATACACACAAAAATTACTTGTGTTTATTTTCATGACACACTTCTACAGGTTTGAATAAGTTTGGATTGAGACTAACGCAACATTGCTATAGAGAACTGTTTTGTGCTGCCTAGTTTCCAATAGATCACACTTGGTATCAGTTTATCACAAAATGTATTATATTATAATTAATAATGAATCTATCGTTGAATAGCTGAACTATTCCAATAGATTACGACATTTCGGAGTTTGTATACATATCATGACGCACACAAGGCTGATTTTTGACGACGGATACAGTGGACGCATAATAAAAGAAAGGGACATATTTCGTCGAAACGTGTCATTTATTGGGTACCAAATTAACACATTAGAATATCAGTGAATCCTGTAGATGAACGAGCACTTCTTTGGTTCTAAATAACTCGACTCATGTTAACAGACAAGTCAAAGAGATACTGGTATCCCCTACGTACAATGCCCAGCTTAT